CATAATAAATCATATTAACAATAATTGTACAGAAAGAGGTTAAGTCTTGTTTTCTGAGGTGTTTCCATGGAGATGTTGAAGTCCTTAACATTTTAAGGCAAAGAGAAAAAAATGGTGATCTGTGGGCGACTGTTTACCATTCCATAATCAATGCAGAAACAATAAAAGGAAAGGCGTGCTGTGAGCAACACAACTACGATAAAAAATGTTTTTATTTTTTTTAATGGCATTCCAAGAGGACAGTCATTTTGAGAGTAGCGATAACTTAACATAAAGAATAAAAGAGAATGGAAGAATGTGATTCAATATAGTTTTACAAGTAAAAGCAAAGGAAAAAATTCAGCGCTTGAATAGTACTAATACAGTTCTGTTCAGCAGCTCAACAACCTAATCCGGTGTCTCTCTTCTCCGGTTGAATAAAAATTAAGTAAATGAAGGGAGTAGGTGTAGTACTTTGAGTGTTCTTGTGTAACAACAAAAAATACATAGTACACGGACTAATAGTGTAGTAAGTGTTTTTTGTGATGAAGAATAAAAAATAGGATGTACACTTACACTTTTCTGGAGCTGTAATCCAGTTCTGACATAAGTGCCAGAGCAGTATCATCCCTGCCTATGGATATAATGTAGCTCTTGTATTGCATGTAGTGTGTCCTTGTAAGATATGGTACACGGTCTCATAAACATAAAAGGAGAACATGATAAAATAATATAGTGTAGTATTTTGAACTTAAAATTCCAAAAGCAAGTAGATAGATGTACACTCCCATGTTTTGGAGTCTAGCGATGGCTCCCACGGAATAGGGTGGTATAATCCCTGCAATATGTAGATGGTGCAGATCCTCTCTGTATAGGTATAAAAAGAGAATAAAACAATATACTTCACAATGTAAAGTGAGGGTATAAACAAATACAAACTCACATGGAAAAAGGCAAATACAATTTGCTAAGTCCTAGCTACATAGGTGGTACCTATCCCCACCAACCATATGAAGACCAGGCAACCAGCAGTATAGAAAGATCCAGGATAAAAAAATATTTTATTGATAATAAAACAATAAAAATATAATAAAAGAAATAAAAAAGCAATACACTAACACATTTCACCATGTCATAGGGTTTATCAAAGTGTTTTCAAGTGTTATCAAACACTTTGATAAAGCCTATCACATGGTGAAACATGTTAGTGTATTGCTTTTTTATTTCTTTTACTATATTTGCATAGTTTTATTATCAATAAAATACTTTTTTTTTTTTTTTATCCCGGACCTTCCTATACTGCTACTTGCCTCCTGGTTTGCTTTTTTTTTGTGTTATATTATTAAAAAGCATTTATAGTAAGGATACAGTGTCTTTAACCACTCATGAGGCATCCGGCATTGATGTCAGTCTTGTTTTTCAAATATTTAAAAACTATGCCTTTCAGCGTTTCAGAAGAATGTGTTCTATTCTGATACTGGAGATCTTGCAAAGTGGTTAAGCTACCCTCATCACAATGGCTAGACCACTAGTAACATACACACACAATGGAATGAATAAACAAAAAAATGCATAAAAACATAAAGCTAGCAATAGGGCATAGCACAGATGAAAAACACTGAAAGTTTTTTTCACACCTGATAGTAATATGACTTTTGGTCAAACCAGTTATTAGCATAACTCTATACCAGGGATTGGCAACATTCAGCATTCCGGATGTTTTGGATTACATCTTCCCTGCCGCTTTGCCAGCATTGTGGATTTCAGAGCATTATGGGAGATGTAATCCACAAATTTGGGAGTGCTGAAGGCTATCTACTCCTGCTCTAAACTAAAGCACATAACTTAAAGGGAAACTCCAGTGCCAGGAAAACCCTCTCCCTCCCACCCCCCCAATCCCCAGTTGTTGAAGGGGTCAAAACCCCTTCAGTAACTTACCTGAGGCAGCGACGATGTTCCACGTCGCTGCTTCTCCCTCCGCGCCGCTCCTCCTTCTGACTGCGTGAGGACGTCCAGCAATGCTCTAGCACAGGTTTCCTGTGCTAGGAACCAGGAAGTGCCCTAGAGGTGGAGTTAACCCTGCAAGGTAATTATTGCAGTTTATGAAAAACTGCAATAATTACACTTGCAGGGTTAAGAGTAGTGGGAGTTGGCACCCAGACCACTCCAATTGGCAGAAGTGGTCTGGGTGCCTGGAGTGTCCCTTTAACCACACAATAGCTGAATGTAGAAAAAATGGCTTATCTAAAGCAGACTTAGGTCATGCTGGAGGCACTGATGAACGTGATGGACAAGTTAAATGAACAAAGGAACATTAGAACATACACTATGAGAACTCAATGTCAAGGTGTAAATTTAAATTGTTTAAAAATTTTATAGAGAGCCCACTCTGCTCCTCACCCAACTCACCCCAAATCTCTTACATTTAATCTACCAGTAATCTTCCACCTTTCACGTTTAACTAACCTCAACAACTACTTCATCTACTATGTACTTAAAGGTATACTCCAAACAAATAAAGCACTTCAGCTTGCTTTAATAATTGGGGGCAGAAACACTTGACTGACGGCCAAGGATATGTTCTTCCATTTCTGTTAGCTTCACTGAGTTAATAAAGGAGGCGGAAATGTTGTGCTAGCTTGCACCTGTGCCCCTCCTCTCAATGAGCTATACTACAGCTCATTGAAAAGCATAGGAAAACTGTGATTGCGTGCATGTACACACTTGTGGCTCCAGATCAGAGGGTTCTCAATGAGTAGATCTGCAGCTTTTACAAGCTGTTTTTTCATATACTCCCAAAGAAAACATGCAGAAAAATACATACATAAGTTTACTCAAATGTTCGAAAAAATATTCAAGGGAGTGATTCTTTAAGCGCTCTTTACTTGCTCTATACTGTAATGTGATCCATCTGTTCTTTTTACCACATAATGAATACATGTTCTGAAAAATGTTGAACATTTTAATTGCTTCTATTTACCTTTTGTCTAATGTCGCACTAACTCCTTCAGATGTTAAGCTCATTTGCACTCTTGCAGTGTACTTAACAAAGGTGCTACACATGACAGATTGGGAGGGTATCCCTTTTCTTTTGTATTAATTTATCTAATTAATTTAGATTATAATCTAGATTGCAATCTCATTTTGAACAGGCTGTCATCAACCTTGCATTCCTTTGAAAATCTGTCATATTTTGGCTCATTTGTTGTTAAATTCCAACCTTTATAATATTGTAAAGTTCTGCGGAATAAGTTTGCACTGTATAATTGCCAATAGTAATAATATTTTTTAACCTTTACATTTTTAATTCACACAAAGCAGCAGAAAATGTTTGTATTCTGAACAAATTAAATCATAGTAACAACGGTGACCTCCTCTACACTTTTTACAAAAACTGAAATGTACCTTCAAGAGTATGACTCATATCTTGGAAAATAATTGAATTTCATTGAAACTGTGCCTTAAAATGTCCATGCCAATGAAACTCAGATGACTGTAGCATCCCTTGCATCTAATGTAGTAACACATTGGGGGAGATATATAAAATATTAACTGCATGATACATAATTAACATATTTAGGTATATTATCATAATTACACAAGAAATTAAGTATTTTGATCATTTGGGAAATTGATCACATAATGTATTCATTTGGTGCTTAAAGGGACACCGTAGGCACTGTATCTGCTTCGTCTCATTAAACTGGTTATAGCGTCTGGAGTCCTCTGGTACCATCATTTCTTTTAGCATTAAACAGTTTTTAAAGTTTTAATGCTTTAATGCTAAACAAGAGTCCCCGGCAATCCATCCCCTCTGTGCTGCTTTGGCTAATAAGGAAGTATTAGCCTGAGCAGCAATAGGCAGCTGTGATTGGCTGAGTGTGTCAGCTGACTGTTTTTAGCCTGTCAGAGTTCCAACTGACGGTATGAATGGGTATAACAACAAGGAAGTGTGTAATCTCTGCCTTAGCTACACATACTAAAGGGGCCGGACTGTGGGCGGCCAGGAACTCTTATTTTGTGGCATACTGCACGAACATGGTGCAACACTGAATGGAGGGACAGTGCCAGGGCACTCCAGGCACTATAACCAATTCAAAGAGATTAAATGCTTATAGTGACTACATATGACTGCTTATAGTGTCCCTTTAAACGTTAATATCATTGTATAAAACAGGGGTAATAATGCAATGTTATGAATCAGCTCTTACTATAACTATTACCAAGTACAAGTTAGAAAATCCTTTGTGCTACTTGTCACTTTCTATACGTAATATTCAAGTTTCTTAAATGCATTCACACAGATTTAGATGAAAAAAATAAGACTAAATGGGCCATGTCCATCATTAGAAATAGTGTCTTTATTTATACATTTCCCCCATTGTGTGTGCGTTTACTAAGGCACAATACAGTAGACATGATAAAGGTGCACAACATATTCAAATTTGCTGTGCAAAATCTGTACTTTTGTTATTCCAGCAACCAATGAAGTTTTCACCAAGTAAAGTCGGTCCATCATAAACATTTTAAAAATACATTAAATATAAACTGGAAAAAAAAATCTTCATTTTGGACTGAACATTTAAAAATGCAATTGAACAACTTCATATTACCCAATCTTTATTCAAATATGTTTAATTCAAATTTGCATTCAGACAGTGAACAGACATACGCAGGGGGAACACAATCCATTCACCTCTGATAAATACTATTTAAGCTTGTAAAGCATTGCTAATGTGGCTGTAGCATATGAAGTCAATCCTAATTCCCTCGGGTTACCAAATCTTTGGATTTTAATTCAGTGTAATTATTATGTGACATTAGTGTAGAAAAGCACACACCTTGCAATACCTTGCAGTCTACCTCTTTTTCTTGTTTGTAACTTTTTTTAATACAAATAATCTTTTTATGCGTTTTAACAAAATATCTGTAGGAATGAATCTCCAAATGTAAAAATAAGTAAATACATAAATATGGATATACATGATGTGTACGCTCACAGCAGCCACATTTGTTCAGCTGGCAACTTGACTTGTAGAAGTGACATTATAACAACAGACATTTGTATAGGTATATATCATTAAAAATCAATGACACAGAATACTCATCTGTACATTCACAGTTAAATGTAAAACTAAACCGTGCATCCTTAAATGGAAATTATTCTTAAAGTGGCATTGTCATGTAGAACTAGCCTTTCTCATATCGTTTCGTCTTCTCTTCCTCTCTCAGAATCTGTTTTGTTTAAAACATAAGTCGGGACTTCTTTGTCTTATGTATGCTTAACTTTCTTTGACCAAAGGAGGAGCTTAAGTTAGCTCCATTTCCTATGTCAAGGAGAAGGGTGAGTACTTTCCCTTAATGTGGATAAGTGCAAGATAATGCATCTTGGACGTAAAAACCCAAGGGCAGAGTACAGAATATTTGATAGAGTCCTAACCTCAACATATGAGGAAAGAGATTTAGGGGTGATTATTTCTGATGACTTAAAGGTAGGCAGACAATGTAATAGAGCAGCAGGAAAGGCTAGCAGAATGCTTGGTTGTATAGGGAGAGGTATTAGCAGTAGAAAGAGGGAAGTGCTCATGCCATTGTACAGAATACTGGTGAGACCTCACTTGGAGTATTGTACGCAGTACTGGAGACCGTATCTTCAGAAGGATATTGATACTTTAGAGAGAGTTCAGAGAAGGGCTAGTAAACTGGTTCATGGATTTCAGGATAAAACTTACAAGGAAAGGTTAAAGGATCTTAACATGTATAGCTTGGAGGAAAGATGAGATGGGGGATTTGATAGAAACATTTAAAGACATAAAGGGAATCAACACAGTAAAGGAGGAGACTATATTTAAAAGAAGAAAAATGACCACAACAAGAGGACATAGTCTTAAATTAGAGGGACAAAGGTTTAAAAATAATATCCAGAAGTATTACTTTACTGAGAGGGTAGTGGATGCATGGAATAGGCTTCCAGCTGAAGTTGTAGAGGTTAACACAGTAAAGGAGTTTAAGCATGCGTGGGTTAGGCATAAGGCTATCCTAACTATAAGATAAGGCTAGGGACTAATGAAAGTATTTTAAAAAAAACTAGATGGGCTGAATGGTTCTTATCTGCCATCACATTCTATGTTTCTATGTTTCTGATACAGAAAATGGAGCTGACTTGAGCTCCTCTTTTGGTCAAACAAAGTCAAGCATAGCATATATATATAAGAAAAAGAAAGGAAAGTTCAGCATGACAGTGCTGCTTTAATCATTATGTATGAGAGGCATAATGATGATGATGAACATTTATTATTTGTAAAGCTTTAGAGAAAAAGTAAAAATACTGAAATGTCACATGAATTGGTGTATTGTTGAAAGGTATTTCTGTTTGAACTCAAGCAAAAGCTAAAGCCACTTGAGAAAACACCTCTGACTGCAAATTCAATAGTACTCATATATACATCTAGTCCAGATTACTTAAGGTACTGGAAAGTACATATATGTATAACTAATTCTGGAGCTATATTGGCTTAACATAAATATGCCACTTCATTTATAAACATGATCTACTAATTTAACAAAAACATACAATTAGCTATGATTCATTTTCATGTTGTATGCAACAATATTTATTAAATAATTATGCCTAAGATATTATGTAAATATTGACTCATATTAGGTATGCAAACTGTTAACCAGGAACATAAACACAACTCATCAAGACATATCTATGAAATAAGTAGTTTATTTGGAATGATAGATTGTATTAACTTATGTGCTTTAACCGCTTGAAAGCCAATGACATGATCAACATATTGTGGAAGGTTAAGTCGTGGGATTTTTAAAAAATGAATAAATGAAAACATACATAAATTATTATTAACTTTTTATTGTTTCAGCGTTGCTTTTAGCCATTGCCATGCAAACACATATGTTAAGGTGATATCACCACACTTAGTTGTTTGTATATTGAACTTAATACAGGCATATCCCACTTTTAAGTACACAATGGGACCAGAGCATGTATGTAAAAGAAAATGTACTTAAAGTGAAGCAATACCTTTTTTTATTTACCAATGCATGTACTGCATTGCAATAATAATTTACAGGCATAACTGATACTGCAAATGCAGATTTCCAGTGATTTATTTAGTGATTTCCAGTGAGCTTTTATTCAGTTAAAACAATCCGTAAAAAGAAAAATCTGATTCCAGATTGTACCATTTATCGTTAATGTTTTACTCATATGACAACCTTAAACTGGGAGGAAAATTAAAATTAACCTGCCCACTGGGCCATTTTCTGCCAATACAGTGTCAATTTGTATTTGTTAGCAGCTTAGTTGCACACTTTGTTTAGAAACACCTCTTCATCACTTTAAGCATTTATGGTTTAACTTTGAATCTTCAGAATTGTGGCTAATGCAGCTAAGCTGCTAAGTCGTTATGGAAAATGGCAGAGTAAACCTTTTCACTTGATGGCAGCTGATTGCAGAATATGGACAATGTAGGGGCAGCAAAAATATATATATGTTCAGCTAGGAGTAGGCATTATAAATTTGAGATGATTAACCTGTGCCATGTCAGAAGGTGTGAAAAGTTCTTGCCCCAATGACACTGAACCGAGCTGCTCCAGGCGAGAATAGAACTTTCCATTTCCTGTTCACTCGCAGACAGAAGAGGTGCAGGAATGTCTGTACTCGCGAGGCACCTTTACGTACACTCGTGGGTATGTCTGTACTCGCAAGTGTACTTAAAGTGAGTGTATGTAAAGCGGGGTGTGCCTGTATGTTCTTGCAAGCAAAAATGGAACATAAATAAACAAATGTGTAAAAAGAAAAGCAAGACGTCATTGACTCCCCATGGCTAACTAGAAATTAACTTGAAAATCTGACGTTAAGCGGAAACTGATTTTAAGGAATGATTGCTGTTTGGTGATATCTAATAAAAATTACTGACTTATTTAATATTACTATTCATATGACTTCTATTTTTTCATGTTAAAGGTTTTTTCTATGAAAAACCTAAATGTTCCTATAAATGTTGTTCTTTTTATTGCCACAGTCTGTACATTTAAAAAAAGAGCTTCCCGCAGAAAGATAAATGATTTTACAAAAACCTAGATTATTTCAAACTGACAACTTGCCAGTGATTTCAGTCCAATTCAATGGCCTTCACAGTCTTCAGCTCTCAAAGTGAGGTATAACGAGAGGTTTGCCTCATAAATGTGTGAATGGAAAAAAAAAAAATAACCGGAACTGCATTCAATTAGAGCAAAATCTTTAAGGAATGCTTTAGAATCATGATAAATAAATGACACAAAGAATAGAGATGGTTTGTAGACAAAGGTTTTATATATTTCTACAATATAGATCTATCTAAGAAACTGTCAATTTGTAATGAATATATGTGTGGATGTTCACACACTTTCCATGTTGTCTAAGACAAATATACAGACTTAATAAACTTTAGGTGAGTTATTGAGTTAATAGACTTTATTCTAGCTATTGTGACAACTTTAACACTACCAGGCAATTTGTGTGAACAAAATAAAGTAACATGTATTTGAAACATGGGGTGCAATCCTAGTACATAAATGCATGATCAAACAGCAATATTGTGTGTAGATTGCAATATTTTACACAGTGTCTGAAATATCTGGGGAAAAAGCAAAAAATGTGAGACATTTTTAATCTCACATTCAGTAAGTGTGACTAAAATTAACAATTAAAAATACTTTGCTTGTAGGTATTTGTAAGGATGGTGATGGAATAACTAGTGGTACCACCTAATAAAAAAGAATGTCTTAAGAGCTTAGTACCCATGTACATTAAGTAGAGTTTATATATATATATATATATATATATATATATATATATATATATATATATATATATATATATATAATTTAAAACATTTCTAAAGCAATCTCTTTAATCCTAAAGAATTGCAGGAAGTGTTTTCCTTACTATTTGGCAGTGTGTGTGTGTGTGTGTGTGTGTGTGGGTGTGGGTGTGTGGGTGGGGGGGAGGAGGAACTGGAGGAAGGAGGGCTGCTGTCATTGACAGGAAGTTTGCAGACATTAAATTGGTGGAATGAGTTCCATAAGAAAATTAATATCTCTACAGGCTGGTAATAATTTCCGTCATTCTAAGCAAATTAAAGTAAAACACGTAGATATACAATCTTAATAGTGAATGAGGTTAATGATTGAGAATTATGCAGAATAAAATTATATTTAAAAGTCTAAAGTTTATACTCTGTCAGATAAAGGTTGCACTATATCAAACATTTCATGGCTTTTATATCATATTAATTAGCAATGCATACCTGTGTGTTTTTCTCTAAAAATGTATAGAGCACACTTCATACTTTACTAATCATGCTGTCTTTTATAGATCTCTGAGGTATGGTTACAATTTATTTTATTACCAACAGCTATACAATACATGAACATGCCATCATGGCAAAAATTAATAGTGTCTGCATGAGAAAGCAGATTATTTAGAACTAACTACATGCCATTCTTCACTATTAGTGTATTTCAATGTAGCTTATTTGTGTTTTCTATCATACTGCAATGTGCAATTCATCATTCTGACTGCCGCTGTCAAATCCAATGTTGGCAAATTTGAGAGCAGTCGTCTATTATTTATGACATATTTCTTGTATTGTAAAATACATTTTCATGATTGTTTTCTGTGCAAATCAAGTCAAATATGGCTTTTGTTTGCAGCAAGTCACTTCTGTTGAAAGTGTATCTGTTGTATGCTTGAAGATGAAACATTTTATATGAGGTTATATAACAATAGCACAATATCAAAAATGTGTCTAAATGAACACTCCAAGCACTATGGTACCATGAGTGCCCTGACATTCTAGCCAATGTAAGTAGTAAAATAAAGAATGGGAGCCTTAACACCAAATATCGTCAAAAGGAGATGCATTCTACCAGTGTGGACTTGCCAATGTTTGGACACAAATGCTGGGTCTTTGTCACTCCTTGACACAGATCCTGCATTTGGGTTCAAACATTTGAGACTACCATCTGATCACTCTCAACTAATGAACTAAACACTGCACTGAAACATAGAAACATAGAAACATAGACTGTGATGGCAGATAAGAACCATTTGGCCCATCTAGCCCGCCTGATTTTCTAAATAATTTCATTAGTTTTTGGCCTTATCTTAAGTCTAGGATAGCCTTATGCCTAACTCGCGCCTGCTTAAACTCTTTCACTGTGTTAACCTCTACCACTTCAGCTGGAAGGCTATTCCATGCGTCCACTGCCCTCTCTGTAAAGTAATACTTCCTGAAATTATTTTTAAACCTTTGCCCCTCTAATTTAAGACTATGTCCTCTTGTTGTGGTAGTTTTTATTTTTTTTAAATATAGTCTCCTATAAGACTTAGCTCAGGCAGAGAGCGTCTGGCTCCTCTAAATGCTGTAGAGGAGAGAGGAGTGGTTTCCAGCAGACCCCACATAAGAAGACACACTATTCTAAACCATTTTGACTACGTATATTAAGGATGTCAACAGGATGCTTCTTGCACCATAAACACTTCAGCACTCTGTAGTAGTTATGATGCTTGGAATGTTCCTTCAGCATTGGTAACTGTGTATTTTATATTATGAGTGATTTTTGAAAAAAATTACATAGCCTTATAAAACCTTATATAAAATATTTAATATAGTAATAATAGTAGAATAGAATGTATCAGATCTAGAACCTTGAAGTAAAATAATTAGATTTCGAATTAGAAGTTAAAGGATGCAGAGATGCTATGCATCAACCAATTTTCATTTCCAATTCAAATAAATGTTATGGTCATATCAATCTCAATACTTATATTAATTAAAAATATAAAAAAAGAAAGTTAGTGTTGTTAGCTCGGTAGATATTGGATATACTGGGGAAATATACCGTGGTATACTAATCAAACAGTCTTAAATTAAACAACAATTACAATTAATTGGTAAAAAAAAAAAAAAAAAACTCAGAGTACTGCTTTCTTTTCACAGAAAGAAAAACTATATTATAATACATACATACATACATATATGTATGTATTTATAAGACACACTCACATGTTTTACATAGATACACATTTACACATCAGCATGACATATATATATTTCCTGCAAATATGTAGATAAGGCCATCTGATTTTTGATTGATATGGATACATTTAGAACCTATAATCATAAGTTGGTGATTCCTCTCTTCTCATATAAGAGTGAAAAAGTTTTATTGTATGTATCATAGACAGATTGTTATTTTATATAACATATAAGCCATATAAGAAGAGTGACTGGAAAAATCTCTAAAGGCACTCTAGGGCATAAAATCCTAACATCAGTCTAAAGGTCTTACCAGAACTGGTATATCTTGTGACTTTATTGATAAATCATATTATATGTAATATATATGTAATATATATTATATACATATTATATTATCTACCTGTTATTTCAAACCCTGTACTGCACAGTGCATCATCTGTACATTATTCCCTATAGTGCAGTTTGACTGCCATCATGAAGTGCCAAAGAGTCCCAAATTTGAGGGCAGCATCTAAAATACATAATGCTGGTGTGCCCAGTATTTTGAGAGTTACACTTTCATATGGAATCTGCTATATGAGGTTACCATGATTTTAATGTACTCCTGTTCCAGACCAAAGATTAAAATAAACTCTAGAACTAATCCTAATCCAAATCCTAACATTAACACTAAATCTAATAGCAAAATTCTATCCCTAGTCATAAAGAAGCATGAAATAAAAATCATATATAATGGTAAAGTACTTTATTAGTATTATGGGGGAAGAGAGAGAGAGAGATTTCATAGATATCCACAACGATGTTATCCTGCAACAATAGGCATCAGTTACAGAACAATTTTTTTAGAATGTTCATTGGATTGTTAAATTGTTTGGAATACTGTTAGTTTAATAAAATTAATTAGTGATAAGTATATTTGAAATTGTAGGACATTAGTTTTTTTGTACAATATATATTTTATGCTAATAAGTCAATTAGTAGAGACTGTGCATTTTTTGCATAAATAACCCTGTCAATTATCCATAGATGATACTACATTTGTCCAGAGCTTTATCCTTAAATGTATAGTTCCATGGGAATATACTTGCAAAACTTACCCCAATAATGACTAATGTTGGTCAATGTCATAACAATCTGGACCCTATTCCGATGTAGAAAAATATTAGGACCCAGTGGAGTTGCTAATGATGTATACATTCCATTGGGTCTCTAAGCACAAAATTGGGATTACGGCATGGATTTACTTTGGTACGTAAGGTGCTAAGATATGTTATTTTCTATTTGTGCTTCAGGCAATCTGTAGGGTACCATTCTCCTTTACATTCTCCTATTAAGGATGCTTTCTGGACTTCTTTTTATCAGAATATTGCTATCATGTAGAGCGGAAACGCATATTACTTTACTCAACTTGCTATTTTCAGATATTTAATTTATATTTCTCTGTGCATTAGAATGGGTGCTTAAAGTGTGCTTTCAATATTTATTTCAACCTAAGAATGTCCTGATGTTCTAATGAAATATTGTATTTTTGTGTGCAAGCAATATCTGTTTTATTTAAAGATTCTATGAGATGTTTCTTAGTGGTATTGAACAATGTGTCTGAAGTCACTTAAAAAAATGTTGCAATTGGAATTGTGTTAAGTCTGTTTATTTATTAGATCTTTAGCACTTGGACAGAGCTCATAGCAGTTCTATATTTTAGAGTAGAGGTTCGTTGTAGTTCTATGTTCTTCCTCACATTTCTATACTTATGATGGGGGAGGGGGAAATTAAACATCCAGAAGTAACTTAAAATGTTTCTTTTTTTTTATTTAAATGTATGCGTTATCAAATGAACTTTTGTTCTTTGTTTTCTTTTTTTTTGTTCTGCTGTTTAAAATGTATGGTGACTAATTATCAATTGTCAAAAAAGATCATTAAAAAAATGAGGGGGAAGGGTGTTAAATTCATTAAGTTGCAAAATATTCAAGAGGAAAACTTCTGTATCAACTTTGCAAGATCAGGTTGACAAATCATCACCTAAAAAGAAACATTACAATGTCTATAATGTTCTATTTTTTCTTTTCTATTAAAGTAAACGGTAAGGACTTTGAAAGAAACATTGCTTTTATTATTTTATTAATTTAACCTCTTTTAAGAAAATCTTGATGTACAATAACAAAAAGTTAATTGGTAAATGTGTTTTCATTTCTCTGAAACACATTTATATTTAATTTTAGGTATTTAATGTTGTAGCAAAGATTGTTGTCTTATGTAAAATCTGTAAGTGGCAAAATATGTATTTTTTTTGCAATGAATCTGTCCATACCATCATCTTCAATTTTGGAAAAAATATTGATTTTAATATATAAATTAAATACATATTTAATAAAATATTATAACATGTTGTTTTTTTTTTCCTGTATGGACTGTATGATATAATTTTTCCATTATAATTTTCTATGCCAAATATAGATTTCAGTATATAAGAATTTATAAGCATTGTTTGTTGTAAAAAGTATTTTAGGCATTATTAATAATAGTTCACAGTTCTCTTTAAATAGAGTCATTTTTGTCTTGTTTTTCTTCCTCTTCAAATCTCCTGAAAATAATCCAAAGTCCTCCCTGGTCAGTTTGACCAGGAACAGTCATGTGTATCTTCTGGTTTTACATATTCACCTAGTTGAAAATATGTCCCTCTATACAAGGGAGTCTTTAAAGGTAGAGATATCCAACCCAGTAAACAAGGTTAAATAACAGGAATGAAGTTGGGAAAAAGACCCTGGAATATGAGTCCAATTCTAGAAGGTCTATGTGAATCCGCCCTCTCCTCCATGAGCCAGATTTACATTCATCGTAGCAACAAAAGAAGCTTTGACAGTCTTTGCCATCCAGGCACTCATAAACACATGCCTCCTCAAACTCCTGCCAATACATTGTATTGTTCAAAGTGATGACAGTTTGAGGGGGTCTTATATCCAGAACTGAATAATTCTAAAGAAAGAGAAAATAGAAAGATGTAAGAAAATTTTGCAGAATGTCGCATTGATAAAAAAAAAAAAAGTAATTATTCTCAGATAATTTTCATTCTTTTCACATAGCAATTGAAAATACAGGTAAAGCAGGTGTTATCTTACCAAGATAAAAACTGTTACGAAGATATATTTGCTATTACAACATGATATTCAGATCAATTATACAGGGGGGACTAATTTGGTAAAGTTAACAATGTCTTACAAAGAATGCACAGATGTCTAATAAAATGTGTATTACATTACTCTGGGAAAACTGTAGCACATTAATTTATAAAGTAACTGATATTGTATTAACAATGGATTGAGGCAGACGAATTCATATTGGAATTGAATAGTATCATTTACTACAATATGTTTCAAAACCTTCCAAAAACAGGTTGTCATCTGCAAGATGAAATACACATTTTACTATTTAAAAAAATAATAATTCTGAGACTGCCTACATTTCCTAATATTTTACAGTAATACGTTTGCAAGGAAATAGTTGGAAACAGGTCTTGAATGTATTGCACTTACCTTTTGGCATAGACTTTCTGACATGGGTGCAATTAAGATTTGTTTAACCATTACTTTATCATTTTTTTTTTATTATTTATTTATTTTTTATTTTATTTGTGCACAGCTTGAACAATCATGTTTGTACCGCCACAATAGCAGGTGCAAGCAGGTTTGAAAACATACATTAACATAGGTATGGCATTGTAATGCATAGCACAGTTTTTTGTTTTTTTTATATATATTAAAGATAGGAGACATGTTAAAGGTTAAACCATGGATCATAGTTACACAAAAGGAATCTGCCTGTCTCAGAGTTTAGTAATGCATTATACTGATTAAACTTACAGCCTAGGGACTAACATGCTAGCTGAAAATATCTGATGCTTGCTTAGTACATATGGTAACATCGCTGCTCTATCTAAACTTAGAATTGGCATGCTGTGTCATGAGCTACCAGAATGTATACATGCATATTTGCATTTTAATCTATGAATAACACACACGCTTTTGCAGGCTAGTCTCGCTTAGCTGTTAGGTTACTTATATTGAATCTGCGCTTCGCTGCCTGATAGCATATATTATAATATATAATGGCTTATAATATATTGAGGTATTATGATCACTGGGTGAAATATGAAGATTAATACTATTTTGTGTGATAGGATTAGTGAGGAGGATGATATTTAACAGATATATATGTAAATAATGGTTGACTATATTATGCATGTTTAACAGTTTTTTCTCTAGCAGAATGGGGCTTTTTATTTATCCTGGTTTCATATGATCTCTGAATGACTCAGTCACGTCTGGTTACCATGGAGACGTTACTGGTGGAACGCATGTGGAACGCGGACATTCACTTCCGGTTTCTGCAAATGATGACTGTGACGAGACCAATCTCGCCACATTGCATTGGAGAAGCCTGGTTGCTCGCCTGCTGCCTTTGGACTATGGCCCCTTTTAAAAGACTTTATTTTTGCATGCAGAAAAGCTGTATTCGTGCTTTTCTGCCGGTTGTTCGGTAGTTTCAATCTACCGAACAACCGTACGAATGACTGGACCACCTGGGAGCTGGAGTGTGCCGGCAATTAAGCTCCCTGAAGCTGCGGTTAACCGCAGCTTAATTGATGAACGCTGGGTGGCCGCCGTTCGTATCCCGAACACGAGGTCGCGGCCATTTTAAACCATACGAATGAACAGCGGTGTTCGCCTCTATTTTTATGGAACTAAAATCGGACACAGTTTTGCGCGAACACCGCTGAAGCCGCCGACCTCCCTTCTTGTTCGGTGAAAGCACACGAATGACCCGGTGTTCGGTATTTTTGTGTGAATGTCTTATACCCCAGATAGGAATCCCATGGAGCCCATTCGTATGAAACTGACTGTAAAGACTTTGGCTCCATGGCGATTGAACTGTATTCGTGTAGTCTGAGTGCCATTCACCTAATAATGTGCACTCAGACCTGAGCTATCTGGGGATGTGTTACATGCCTGTGTTTAATGTAGTAAATGTTACTTTGTGCATTTTAAAGTATAATGCTGTTTTGTGTTCCCACGTGTGTAATGGAGTTTTGCCTTTGTCTTGGGAGATAATTGAGTTACTTCCCAATTATCTCCCAGGGCAGAGGGGAGGAAGCCAGGATGCATTGTGGGAATATACTGTGACCGTGTGTCCTTTTTGTATACTTGTCTGTCCCTTGTCACAGTCTCCCATTTGGTCCCCTAGGGGAGTGTCCACCAGGTGGAGACCTGCATAAAAGCTGGGCAGGTAGCCCTCATTAAACAGACCACTGCTTGACCCTCAACACGGAGCCTTGTCTCGTCTTTGGGGGGATTTACTGTATGCTGCTAAGGACTGATTGCCAGGAGTGTAAGCCGCTTGGAAGCTTTTCCTGTTCGCCTGCTAGCAGCTATTTGTATGGTTCCTGTTCGTTTATTTGAAGTGCTACCTTATTCCCTTGCATGCCGTTCGGGAGTTTGGAGCATTCACTTATTGGCGGTTCGTGAGTTTTGGTGATTATACCGTAGCTGTGCCTGTCTCTGAAAGGGGGATTATCGTCTAAGCGGTTTTTTTCCCCTTTTATGCTAAACGGTCCGTTACAATGACCACTTCCGGTATTTGCCGAAAAAGGCGCGAATTACAAATTATGGAAAATGGATCAATGAAAAACAGCTGCCACAGGAAGATCACTCCTCCAATCAGGAACAAGGAGGATTTATACACCCACTGGATCCACCAATAGACTTTAGGGATTAGCCCTATTTAACCCCTTAAGGACACATGACATGAGTGATATGTCATGATTCCCTTTTATTCCAGAACTTTGGTCCTTAAGGGGTTAAGGACACAGGGAGGGGGGATTTGTATAGGATATGTTCATTTATGTATTGTACATTGATACATTGTTACTGCTTTTAATTGTGGTCCCTGAGGAAGTTCTTATAGAACGAAACGCGTAGGACAACTTTTTTGTTATTTATATCCTATGTAGTGATGTCGCGAACCCGAAATTTTCGGTTTGCGAACGGCGAACGCGAACTTCCGCAAATGTTCGCGAACCGGCGAACCGCCCGAAACGCCATTGACTTCAATGGGGAGGCGAATTTTAAAACACACAGGGACTCTTTCTAGCCACAATAGGGATGGAAAAGTTGTTTCAAGGGGACTAACACCTGGACTGTGGCATGCCGGAGGGGGATCCATGGCAAAACTCCCATGGAAAAATTACACAGTTGATGCAGAGTCTGGTCTTAATCCATAAAGGGCATAAGTCACCTAACATTCCTAAATCACAATGGATATGGATTGACACCTGACATATGACATATTGACACCTTGACACATATGATTGAGCACCTGTCCTCCAAACCCCTGATGCACCGCGGACACAGAGCAGAATAGAGACTGGTCCTACATAGGGTCACTTGGCGAATGGATTGACATATTATAGGGATCCCTGATACACACTGACACAGAGCAGAATAGGGACTGTTCCTACAGCCGGGTCACTTGGCCGGATATGGATTGACACCTTGGCCTGAAAGCTGCTATTTGGGCCCTTTAAATGGCAAATTGCCCTGCTTCCCTGGGTTGTGGAGAAGCCTGCTTGCCAGCCTCCTCCCGCATGACTATGGCCCCTGGGAGATTGTGAAAATGTATGCACTTTTATTTGGTGTGTATGGCCCTTTAAGACTGTCGGTGGGCATATTGGGGCTTATGGACTCTTTATGTGACTGGTGCTGGCGCTTTAAACACCTTTTTTGGGACATCAGGAAGATTGGGACACTGC